ACAAGATGGCAGCACTGAGTCATCTGTGAACACCAGTTTTTAACAGCTGACATTACATGTGAGTATGTGTTTGTGATAAAATTTGATTACATAAAATACATGCTTCTTCTTCTTTGTTTGTTGTTTTGTAATCATTTAGCAAACAGTTACGAGCATGGCCGTCACCTGGGGTGTGCATACTGCCATGTGTGATTACCTTTTTTTCTCTCCACTCAGATGTTTGATTGTAGATGTATTCATTGTATGAACAGGGTTTGTTGTTTAGCCTCTACATAAATGATCTAATAAATGAATGCTATTAGGTCAGACATCCTAATGTACGCTGATGATACTATCATTTTTGAACATGCAACAACAAACCAGCAACCTGCACGTAAACTAACAGCAGTGATGACTAATGTCACACAGTGGTTTAATAACTCCTGTCAATACTTAAACATAAAGAAAACAATCTGCATGTTTTTCACAAAGAGGTCAACAGATCATTTCACACTCAGTGTTTTCATCACAGGGTTAAAGGTCACAGTTGTGTCTGATTATAAATGAATATAACACTGGACTTTAATCTCCCATTTCAAAAACAAATTAAGAATGCAGTGAGGTTCACAAATGACAAACAGTTTGTAAATGTAGACTGAACAGTTTATATAATTGTGGATTTCTATTAGTCTACGTTTACAAAACTATAAATATTTGTGTGTGAATCAGAAATACATTTGTGAATCTTGTTTTTTTATTTGTGGATTTGTTTTACATTTATATAGAATGAATTTATATTTGTGTGCGCATTGAAATACATTTATGAATCATTCTGTGTGCATTTGTGAATATTGAGACTGATATAACTCCATAACAGCTGTCCTCCACAGCTCATTGGTGGGGTTTATTTACACGAGCTTCATGTTGTTGTGTTGTCGTCAGATGTTGTAAGTGCTTAAGGAGTTTTGAAGTCTTGTTTTTTGCAGTATAAAGAGTCCTGGTACTGGGACACAATTTACATCTGACAATGATGTTCTTGTTATCTTTCCTGTCGACAAAACTTAAGTAATGGGAATTTTTCCAGCCACTGAATGTAAACTTCCATCTTTCAAGCTAGCCAGGGTTGCCAGGTATGTGTGACAACAAATGACAAAACAAGCCCAATGGCCAAAAAAAAACGACCCTCTGGGGCACCTAAAAAAAAGCCCAAATCCGTATATCTGGCAACCATGAAGCTCGCTACCTTCCTGCTTGTCTGAGATGCGCAACAAAATTAATCTGGGGTTTGTTTCATAAATCTGAAGTGGGGTAATAACAACAACAGTAATGTAGTAACAAGTTATTTTTTGTGTGAGTAACTGTAATATTATTACTGGAATTTCATAAGTAATTCATTACACTTCTTGTTACTTGTAAAAGTAATATCATTACTGTAACGCGTTACTAGTGATACGTTACAGCCCAACACTGGTCCTACTAGCTGTTTCTATTGATGTTTAGCAGGGCTTGTTCAGGATAAAGGCATAACATTCTCTATCCCTCATCACAAATAAACTACTTATTCAAAAAATACAACTTTTTTTTTTTCTCTTTTCAGATTCACCCAAAGGGACCACAGTGTCAGTCAGTCCCTCTGGTCCAGTGCAAGAAGACACAAATGTGACACTGACTTGCAGTGCTAATGCAAACCCAGCTGTAAAGAACTACACCTGGTACAGAGCTGATGGAGGCCAGGAGACTTTCATGGGGACTGGACGTGTTTTAAACATCAAAGCTTCTAGGGAGAGAGGACCTTTTTTCTGCAGGCAAATGAAGAGGGAAGTGGAAGATCGAACAACACACAGATGGATGTTCAGTGTAGGTATCGTTTGAAACATTTGCATAAATGCAGGTAGGTCAGGCTTCTTTTGTGCAGCGTTTTACAAATGAGGAATGTAAATAATCTTTGTTAATAAGCTTCTTGAAAGAGAGGCCCATTTTTCTGCAAGGCTGAAAATGAACTGGGAAGTTTTCAATCAAACACAAGACAAATAGATGTACATTGTAGGTGTCATTCATCAGTTACATTTTAAAAAATGTATGAAAATCTCTTTGTTTATCTTTAATTTGCTTTGATTGGAAACTTCAAATCCATAAAATCTTTCTTTTGTAGAGGATTAACTTTGTTGTAAATAAAGGGAGAAAAGCGTTATAGATAATGGATGGATCGATAGTTTACATACATAAAGTATTTAGTGCCTTTCTTTTAGGGTGGTGGGAGATCACTTTGGGTAATCCACCCTGAACGACCTGAATGGTAGGGGAAACACTGTGTTATATATGAGGTTCTATAATTAAATTAGAGACGAGCAAATGTTAACTTTACCCCCAAAAAGGTCTGCTTAGTAAGAATGTGCATATCAAGTAAAATTACAATCATTCAAATGAAATTGCTTGCGCGAGCAATATTGTATCCTGAGAGGACAAAACCATGCTTTGAGCGCAAAAAGAAAAATCCCCTCGCGAGCGAGCAGGAGAGAGCACTGTAGTTACGCGCTCAGGGTGAGATTTTGCTCGTGCTCAAAGCATGGTTTTCTCCTTGCAGGTTACAATATTGCTCGCGCGAGCAGATAAATTCTGCGAGCGAATGCTGTGCAAACGCTTGCAAAAATAATATGCATGCGTGGCTGTTTGAGCTCCTTTAAATTTGCGCATGGATCTTGTGCGCACGCAATTTTATTGGCTGGGATAAAACGCCATAGGTTGGTGATGGAGATGTGACATAGAAGAGCGTAGTGCTGTTCCATAAGTGGAATTGTTTTCAACTGAGAGCTGAGTGAATGCGGCCTCAAGAAACGTATGAAGCTGAGTGCTGAAAACACTGAACTACATTGGTTTTGTATTGAAAATAGGCGCTGCCAGCGTTAAAAGCGCCCTCTGTGGACACAGGCCCAGAATGAAAAGCAATTGACATGGAGGAACTAGAATTTTTCTTTGCCTCATTCACTTCATTCACACTCACAGCTGGTCAACTTTTATTTTTTTATTTTTATAGCCATAAGCCTTATCTTTTACTTTTGCAAATTTGATACAGCATGGCTTTACTTGACTCTCTCCTTGTCTCTCTTCCCTACATCCATTACAGATGCTCCACAGATCATGTCCTCATCTGATTGCACCAAAACTGCTAACCAGGTCAACTGTTCCTGTGAGTCTACGGGAAATCCTCCTCCCACTTTACAATGGAGTTTGGATGGGTTAGCTGTCAATCACTCAGAAGAGTTTGCAGTCAGTTATGAGCATCGAAATGGTACAGGCGTGAGCTTCATCACCATGAGTCAAGCCCAAAGGAAGGATCACTTCACTGTGCTTTGTCGCAGCTCAAACTCTCTGGGATCTGTTGCTCAGCGATTTATTTTCTACAACCTTCCAACATCTGCAGAAAGTCAAGGTTTGTCTCTGAACTGAGTATAACTTTTATTGGTAAGCGGCACATTTCACAATTTGTTCTCATAATTACTAAGTATTAACAAGAAAGCTTTATGAATGGGTAAGTAGTGAAGAAAACGTCCTCTGGAGAGCTTAAATATGTGAAAAATGAATTATTATTACATTATGTCTGAATTTACTAAAATAATAATCTCGTTTGAAGTGGAGCTTCAACCATAATCCCATATTGTCCTTTGTATGTTTCAGTGATTTTGCCAGTCTTCATCGCCACCATTGTCGTCTTCCTGGTGCTAGTATGTGCTCTACTCTTTGTTATCAGGTAGGATAACAGCAAATCAAACCAAACCGTACAGAATACCACTATGCAAAATATTTAAAAACCTCCTACTGGGATTTTTATTTTCTTTATTTGAGTGAAGATACAGATTCTGTGGTGTTCCTCTGGTCTTTAACATTTTAAGTATTTTTTTGGATTATGAGCAGACCAAGTCTTATCCAGGTCTGGGCCAGCTGATTGCACGTTCAGCTGGCGGCTTCACTGCTGTCACTTCTGCAAGCGCGCTAGCTACACTCAATTGTACACTTGCACACAGATTTTAGCGCAGGTTTTCTCTACTAAAACACACGTTTGGTAAAACGGTTTTAAAATCATCATATCCTAACAAAAGCCGAGCTAAAATCAGCATTCAAAGAAAAAAAATCACCAGAAAAGTTGAGTGACAGCAGGGCATGACGAAAACTGAACGGAGAAAAGTTTCAGCCACAGTGGCAGACAGCTGGAGGAGCTGGAACACACTGCAGCTAAATTTCCCCTTAAAGTTAAAGACTAGATCCTGGTAAAGATAAAAGTTATTCACAAAGCATCTTAGCTCTTAAGAGAGCTCCGAAAGTAAAGATCTAAGGATGAAGAGTTTCTCACAGAGAAGAAAGAAGGAGAGAAAGGTGATCAGAAGAATTCCAGCTCTATCACAGTCTCATATTAATATCAGATTAAGTAGACTCTTACAGTTACCAGCATGGTGAATAAACAGGAGCATATAAATATGAGAAAAATACAAAATATTTTTATTTTCTATAATTAGAGCTCAATTAATTAAATAAAAGTTGTAATTGACTTTTGCATCACAATGGTTCAAGAGTAAATTGGTGACTGTTATTCTTCGATCAAAAGTAAAGTTCCTGGGCCAGTGATTACAATGGTCGGGTGATATTTTTTTTATACATGGGAGATTCAGTTTTATAGGCTACATTTATAAACTTTAATACGATAAATATCGAATCATATCGAATATCGACATTAGGCAAAAAAATATTGTGATATCAAATTTAGGCCATATCGCCCAGCACTACTCTCAGCCGAGACTGTGTTTGTACGATGGAGAATGAATACAGACACACAGACTCCTTCACAGACTTTCACATGTGTATGACCACTTACCTCCTCTGTAAACATCATGCTGGTAAATATCCAGTGTTTCGTGGCCGATGATGATGCTCGCAAGGAGAGCGAGCAACAGGTTACTGGTGCAGTTCGCCTGACGGCCATGCGGTGTCACTACTAACGCAGTATTTTTGAAAAGTTACATATAGCCCCTTTAACCTGCATGGAGGACCAAAGGCTGGTAGTGCTAGCACTGTGAATGCTAGCCACACTTGGCACAACATTATGATATAATTTTCCTGCAGACGCTGTGATCCTGTGTTTCGAGAGCTGTGAGACATCTTAAAACAACTCAATTTAGTTTTCTGAATTTTTTTCTCAACTTTAAACTACCAGTGGGAACAACAAAACTGTTTACAGTATATTCATGTAGGTTTATACTATGCTGTTTTTTCAGGGCTCAGAGGACTCAACACAACCTGCTTAAGAGTCAGGGGTCAGGTAATGCCAGCACAGTTGCCATGAGCCAACATCTACCAAGTGGAGAAGGAAACGAGGTACTTTATCTTGGAATCCAGCAGTTTTCTACTTAATGTGACTTACATAAGCACAATAACCAACCAACATTTTATTTTCAATTGTAGGAACCCAACAAAACAGATGAGGACATTTATGTCAACACCTATGAGCTGAAGAAACCAGGTGTCACCCAACCTGCAACTACCTCTGAGCCAATCAGCACCAACTTACCAAGCTCAAGCAGAAACAACACAGAAGACGCCAGTACAAGTTCAGAGAAGAAAAACGAGGAAAGCAAAGATGTGATTTACACTAGTGTGACTTGGAGGAGCAAAGGGAAGAAGGAGGGAGGAAGCTCTGGGACACAAATCAGTCAGGTCGCTCCTATCTGGAGGAGAAGCGCTTAGAGGGAGCATTGAATTTTGTGAGCAATGCAGTAGAGATGGTAAATCTATATGACGAAGTGAAGCCTAGAAATGTGAGGAAGGACTCTGAATGTGAATATGCTCGGGTTAAATTTAGAGAAAAGAGTGTGATGCAGACATAGCTTACAGTTCAGTCAGGACCACTTTGTCAAGAAAATGTACTTTATTGCAATTATTTATATTCGGCGGTATGGCTCTGTTTTGGGATCTCCCTGACCTTCCACGTTCTTAAGTTGAATGCGTAAGGCAGGAGCAGCACACATACCTGCCCTTCCTGTGCATACAAGGAAAGCTTTAGGCAGAGATAAGCAGCAAAGCCAAACAGAGCAGACATCAATGACATGCATGACATTGATTGATGCAAGTCATTGCAGCATAAAAGGAGGAGCTGGGGTGGAGGAGGGCTGCAAATGTGGCTCAGAGGGAGCAGCAAAGAGTAGGCAGGCTAGAGCAGTTTAAATAAGCGGCATAAGAACTTTTGGCGAATAGAATGCTTTGAAGTAAATCAGCTGGCCATCAGCTGATGAGGCTTGTGTGAGATCAGCTGTTACCGAAACTCTGGCATGATAGTAGAGCGTGACTCAATTCCCTGCCTGAACTAACGCTACGCTAAATTTCTATTGCTGATTTAAGAACTTTTGATATTGTTTTGCTCTCTTGAATGTATATTTTCTTTTTTCTTGTTTATTTTCCATAAAATAAAATAAAAAATTAAGCAAAAGAAAAGTTGAAACTAGGGCTGGGTGATATGGCCTTGAAAAAAATCTAAGATGTTTTTTCCACACCGAACTTGATTGACGATTTTAACTTGATTTTCATTTAAAATGTGCCTCTGTTTTGTGCTCACAGTTTGGTTAATTCTTTGCATTGAGACCAAGGACAACTAGTCATTCTTCATCACCCTGCAGGTTATGGGTCTGCAGTAGTTGCTGCAAATTCATTGAGGATGAAATGCCTTCAGCGTTGACACAACTTGTAAAAAAAAAAAAAACTGCAGCTAGCCAGCATAAGAGAACTGAAGTCACTATGTTTCTTCGTTTCAGGTTCATGAAGGGAATCAACACAATGCTCTATATGTCAACCAAATCAAGTGAAGCTTTTGAAAGCCCCTGATGTGGATTCCCTTGTTGTTGATATGTTTGATGATGAAGAAATTCGCCGTTGACACTGACTTGCTTACATAATGATCATTTTATTGACAAACAAGTTACAGCATCGCCAGGCTCGCCATGGTTCGACCTGGGAGAGACACAGCCAAAAGTGATCTCCCCCCGAACACACAGAAACTCTGGTATTTATGGACACACCCCACAGGAGAACAACATGGGGACATCTGTTTGTTTTCAGGACACCCCTCTTACTACAACTGCGGGGGTTTCTGTCTTAGATATATGTATGTCATGAACGCAAAGGACAACACAGGTCACAGATACAATCTCTTGTCCAGATGTCCCTGGCAACTCTCTGGACACAGGGGCCCCATTGTACACATTCCACTGAGAGGGCTCCTGTCGTAGATTTAGGATTTCCGGATAACTCAAAAAACATCACTGGTCTCAAATATAATTACTACAAACTGTCGTTTTGCACATTCTTAATAAGAAACAGAGCTGACCTAATTTCCAGATATGTCAGACACTTCACCCCTTAGCAACATCTTTCAGCTATCTTCAAATTGCCAAGACTACCACATAGCATATAACACAAGTGTAACAGGAAATAGGAAAGCAAACCAACATTCTGTCAGGTACAAAGCCTTGTTAAAAAAATTAGAATTTAAAGTGCCTTAATGTTCATGTTCTTTAAGTTCTCAGTTGTTAATTTTGTGTGAACTTAGAATAGATGTTACTAAGGAAATGAGTAATGAGGAGCTTGTGTAAATAAATAAATAAATGTCCCAGTAACAAAGGTTTGACTCGAGTCTGATCTGTTTGATGCAAGTCATCGCTTCTTTTTCACTCTAGATTCCTCTTTCTATCTTTGGCTGTTACTTTACAATATACGCATTTACTGCGCAAAAATAAAAAATAAAAGAGTAACGTATGTGACCATTGATATTTATGATGCACAAAGACTCACAATACTATGGCTCCCAAATATATACTCATTTATTTGCTATAAGTACATGAAATAAAATTGTTTTGAGCCTGACAGGGAAAATCTAGAGACTTTTTCGACCCAGCACCTAAATAACTGAGGGGCATGTTTGCTGACTTTTTCAGCATTGATATTTACTCATATACTGATGCCTAAGGCATGTCTTATATGAGAGAGCTCTTAGTTTTTTATGCTATTTGACTAAGTAGCATGGATATTTTATAGCCTCTTTTGTGAACTAAGGGTACATCGAATTTAAAGTTTCACAGGTCAGATTGTCACAGATCGTTTTGCAGAATGGCCGACGAATCACAATACATCTTCTGCATCTTAACAACATATCATATTCTCATATTTCATCACTTTATCCACATTGCTACAATTTTCATTATGATAATTCAAAGGCAAGTCAAGTTTGCATGTTTAAAAACAGCCTGAACTAACCAATGTGCTTTACTTACAAGGCGTAAAAACAACAGCAGCTTCAAAGAAAGACAATAAAATATATATACACACATGAAGAGGGTTTTACATAAGATGACAGTGGGCCAAGTGTTTTACAGATAAAGCTGGTTGGAGTCAGGGGGCCAAACAGAACTACCTCATTTTTTACTCATTTAGTATTAAAACGTTTTGTGCCATCCAGTCTTTCGAGTAGTATTTGCAGGGAGTGGGGTTATTGCTTTTGAGAGGGATATATATTTACATGTCATCTGCAAACCAGTGGAAGGATAAGCCGTGCTTCCTTATTAGGGAGACCAGTGGCAGGATGAACAGGGAAAAACAAAAAAGAGGTGATAAAACTGAGCCCTGAGGAACCCACAGGTGAGGGCAGCAGAGGGAGAAAAGCTGTATCCTAGGCATACTTTAAAACTTCTGTTTTCCGAGTATGATTTGAGCATATTTAGCCTGGATCCCAACCCAGTCTTTAAGCCTGGTGATAATTATTTTGTGGTCAACCGTCTAAAATGCGGCACTGAGATCTCCACTCTAAAAGTATTAAATTGCATAGTCCCCATTGTCTACTGCTAAAAAAAATCATCAAGAACTTTTAAAAGAGCTGTTCAGTGCTGTGCTTTTCTCTAAAACCTGATTGGAGTGCTTTAAATATTTGATTATTGCTTAAAAATTGATTCATTTGTTTATTGATTACTCTTTCGAGAATTTTGGATAGTAATGGGAGTTTCGAAATGGGTTAAAATTTGATCAAATGTTAGGATCTAGGTTAGGTTTTTTTAAAGAGGCTAAACCACTGCATGTTTACAATCGGTCTGGAAGCATCTCGTGGAGAGGCAGCTGTTGATGAAGGAGAGGATGCTAATAATTTAAAATGTTTCTTTAAAAAGGCAACGGAGAATACAAGCAGATGTCCATGATGTGGGCTTCAAATGAAGGATTATTTCTTGCAGAGAGGAGAGAGATAATGAATAAAGAATTCTAAAATATCTCGCAATTTTCTGTGCAAGAGACTGGAGAGGTGTAGTCAGTGAGTCAGGCCCCATCCACACGTATACGATTTTTTTGAAAACGTAGTATTTTCTCTCCCTTTTGGCGTCCCGTCCACATGAAAACAATTGAAAACTGAGTTTTTGGTCACTGCAAACAGTTTTTGAAAAACACATTCCAAGGTGGAGATTTTTAAAAAATCACGTTTACTTGTATTCGTGTGAACAGTTAAAACAGTTCAAACGGAGCTTTTTGTAATAGTGACGTAATTACGTCGACTTGCGTGTTGAGCATGCGTCATAACCAAGATGGCGGGCTACCAGTTTGTTTACATCTGTTCTCTGCTGTTAGTCGACATTCTCCTGGCACTTATTCAAGTGTAACTCAAAGCAGCAACTCCACTTCGTCGTCCGTCCAAACGAATGAATCGGCTTTGTGTTTGTTGACTTGTTTCACCATCTTTCCAAATTGCCGCTGTCAAAATTACGCTTAATACGCATGCTCGCAATGTTCTTTTACGGTGTTTGATGTGAATGAGACACAGCTATTATCGCCACCTACTGGCCTGGCATGCTTATGGCATGCTTATGTGAGCGTTTTCCATCGTTTTTGCGTTGCCATGTGGACTGAGAGATTTTTTAAAAACTGTTGGTGTGGACGGGATTTTTTTTGCAACCGGAGGGGGAGGAAACAGGTTTTTAGAAATATCCGTATGCGTGTGGACGTGGCCTCAGTGAGTTTACGGTTTTTATTAACCTTGGGTCTGTTAAAGTTTTGTGTTGTGAGATCGCATAAGTATTTTGTCCTTGCTAAAAAAAAGTCCTTTGCTCAATACCAAGACTCTGTCAAAGCAGCAAGTCATAAGAGACTTGGAGTTTAACTTTTTTCCATTTTCTTTCTGCCTTTCTACAGCTTCAAACAATTAGATAAACCTAAACTCCCCTTTTATTTTGAAAGTACTTTAAAATCTGATAACATCAGACTGAAATATAAAAGGCGTGTGTGTTAAGGAACTGCATCTTCAGTTTTTGGACTGAACACACCCCTCTGTAACATAGTTTGGCTACGTTTACAGATACAGACTACAGCAGGCTGAAACGTTACCTAGTGAAGCTACTGATTGTTGTCACACACAGCCACCATCTGATCCCTGCGTGAGAGCAGACGGGGTGGAGGGAACGGAGAAAAGACGAAGCA